AAAGGAACTATCTATTTATGTATAACAAATCTTTCTCATTGGCCAAATTTATATGCGTATTATTAGTATAAGATATAAAATTAAGGATTCATTTCGAAAAAAAAATTCTCTTATTCTTTGGGTACATTTTTGGGCTAAAGATATTCATGAATTGTATAATTATACTGTTTAAAAAAGATGTCGTAATTAGTCTAAAATCCATGAATCTGATTGAATCAGCTCACAACATTTACATGGAGTTTGTTTTTTTTTTTTTGAGGTGTTTTGATCGTTTAAAAAATGAAAAAATTGTGAGGATAAATTAAAAACAAATAGTTTTTAATAATTTATTCTAAAGTAATATATAATTCATGAGTAAAAATTAATATCAATTGATGATTTAGTGGATGAATTAAGCTACTAAAAATTTGGGTAGCTAATTAGTCAGTTGGTTAAGACCTGAATACCACAACTTACAGTTGGTCTGTAGCCATCAACAGTCTCCCCATGTCCGACCTCGGACGGACTACGTGTCGCCTTCCGAGTCAAAATCTCCCGTGTCTTCGCCGCTCCCTACTCGACAGCCGATCCCGGCTCTTCTCCTTCCCCCTTCTCCCCGGTAGCCGCCGCCTCTTCCAACTCTCAAAGAGGTCAAGTGAGATTTCGTCGCCTCCATCTCCGCCGCCCTCCTCCCTAAATCTCCTCCCGGGGAAATCCTACTTCTTCCAGCCGATCCTTCCAAGGGAGGACGAGATCTGGCGCGGAGCTTCGCGGACCCTCGCCCTTCGCCGCCTCCATCCATGGTGGCGGCTGCCTTTCTCCTCCTTCCCCTCCTCCTCCCCCCGCTTGTCTCCTCCGCGGACGCCGGATCCGACCCTGCTGCCCTCCTCGATCGCCATGAGTCCCAGCTGCGCCGCCTTGAAGCCCTCGTCGAGTCCCTCTACAATACAGTCGCCACCCTACAGGCCTCCCTCTCATCCTGCCCCTCCGGTCAATCCGACCACACCTTCCCGTCGTCCGCTGCGCTCCCCATGGATCTGGAGACCGTCACCCCCGTCCTCGCACCGCCACTAGCGCCAGCGGCGCCCGGGAGCGCGGGCGGCCAATACTCCTCCGGCGTATCCGTGACCAAGCACAAGACCTCCTGGTCCGAGAGGTTCCAGTTCGCCGCAGCGGCGCGGCTGGAGGCCGCCGCCACCGTTGCCGTCGTGCTCCCGTACGAGGATCTCGACGGCCTCAGCAAGTACTTCGCCGTCGGCGACACCCGTGGCCAGGTTTATGTTTTCTCCGCCGCTGGCGATATCATCATCGAGCTCCCGTCCCTCTCTGGCTCCCCTGTGACCTCCATGCTCTCCTACCTGTCCTCCCGCCGCAACGAGAGCCTCCTCTTCGCTGGCCACGCCGACGGCTCCGTCACTGCCCACCGGCTCTACGAGTCTGCTGCTAATAGTGATGATTGGCTCACACTCTCGGTTGGTAGCTCCAAACCCTTCATCCGTGGATCCCGCGAGTTGGATTCCCCGTCGATCTCCGGCCTCGAGGTCCATCAGGTTGGTCGCGCTCGCTACATCATTGCATCAGATGGTGGCGGGAGGATCAGGGTTTTCACGGAGAATGGCACCCTCTATGGCACCGCTATTGCTTCTAGCCCGCCCCTGGCTTTCATGAAGCAAAGGCTTCTGTTCTTGACCGAGACGGGTGCTGGGTCGCTGGACTTGAGGTCTATGGTAGTGAGGGAGACTGAATGCGAGGGGCTAAATGGCTCCATTGCCAAAGCTTACTCCTTTGACTCGTCGGAGCGGCTAAAAGCATATGGTTTCACTGCTGGAGGTGACCTGGTCCACGTCGTGCTTCTTGGAGATGTAGCCAAGCTCAAGTGTCGGGTTCGGGCCATCAGGAAATCAGAGATTGATGGTCCTTTAACGATCCAAACCATCAAAGGTTATCTACTTGTTGCGAGCTATGACAAGATCTCGGTGTACAACATCTCGTCACAGTTCTATGGCAGGGTCGGGGCACCTCGGCCACTGTTCTCTGTAACGATCCGTGAGATCAAGTCCCTGTTCTTGAATTCAGAAGCTGCTGCATATGGGCCATTAGATGTGAAGCCATTGATAGCTGCAGATCGTGAAAAGCTTGTGGTTTTGGGGCTTGGTGGAGGGTACATTGGGATTTACAGGTCAAATTTTCCAGTTTTCAGAGTGGAGACTAATGCTGTCGTGTGGAGTGGTCCTGTTCTTCTGTTTCTTTTGTTTTTGATTGGTATATGGCAGTTCTATGTGAAGAAAAAGGACTCCTTGGGGTGGACACCAGAGGAGTCCTTCAATGCTCCGGGTGCCCCATCGAGTAGTCTCTTGGGTCCTGGAGCCACTGAAAGAGCCTTTGCTGATGGTGTGAGGGCTGGCGAATTGAGGGAATTAAGGGGAGGAGCACTGAGAACTCCAGGTCGAAGGTATGGGTCTCCTACTCATTACACTGGAGGACCAGGGATACCATATAGGAGTGGCACTGCAGATCCTGGTTTTAGAGGTCCAGGGGAGCTGAAGTTTAGAGGGCAGAGCATGGAACCTGCAGGTTTTGCCAAGAGAAGAGAAACATTGTTTCCGAACAGCCAAGTTGCAGATGATAACATCGATTAAGAATTTCCTTGATCCAACAAATCCCCTTGTGAAACTTATCTGAACACGTTTTGTTGTGTCCTTTGAAATGTCATAGCACCATGGTAAGGTCACACTGTGAGATTACACATGTTGCATCTGCCCAATAAGCCCATTTTGTAACATGCACTGCTTACAATTAAACTCTACTTTAAGCAATATCTATCAGTGATCCTTATCATTTCATGAGCTGTCAGCCCTCAGCCAATAAAATGGAGTGAACATGTCATCACCATCTTTTCTTTTCTTTTTTTTGCATATTTTGGAAGTTGTTAGATGTGTTTATGATAGCTCCGATAGCTCCAAATGGAACTCTTTGGTTGGAAGCTTCTATAAGTTGAGAATTTACTATAGCTTGCACTTCACAGTCTCTCGCTGCTGAATTTTGGTCTACAACATCCATCGGTCTTGTCGGCATCATCTGCCAGAGAATAGAGAGCATATTTGTACACTGCTCTCAGTTATATGCATGCTGAGACCTGTTCTTACTCTCTTAATTATATCCTCATTTAGATGTGTTTAGCTTAGTTATAAATAAGGTCATTTGAAATGTTTGCACCCCTCTCAGTGTGAACCCTATATCAGAGTGTACCTTTGCTTTTTTGTTTTTTTTACTGTCTGTGTTCTTGAGTTAGTGATGTGACTAGTGTCCTGAACCATTGTGGATCTTGTGCTTATATCCTTTTAGAGATGCTTGGAATAAAAAGTTAATGGAGGTATGGCTCTGGCTATCCTTTTGGTCAGCTCGGAAGCAATCTAAACGAGATTTGCATCAAACGTCCGAGGATACCTTTTTCTGTCCGATCCTTGTTGATTCTATTTGGTTGTGAAGTTTGTTTTTTTGCTTTGTATGTAGCTTGTTCTCAGATTATATTTGTTAATGCTGTCTGATTGATAGTCTTTAGTTACTATGATGATCAGATAAGAAATTTGAAAGTGGTTATTTTTTCAATTATATATTATATTTCTCCTAGTAGCTGAGATTAACAAGGTTGTGCCTTTGATGGTGCTCCATCACCTATCTGGATAATATGAACCTTTGATTTAAATTTACTAACTCTTCTTGTATGTTTAGTTTCCTTGCAATTATGTTCTGGAACTTTGTTGTTTATGATGTGAAGAACAATATTTTTTAGCTGCCTCTACATCCTTTTTTTCTTTCAACCAATATCCAAACTGGCTTCTTTTGGTTAAACACTATTCAAGACAAAGTGTGATTGCATTTTGCAGTGTCTTCTCGACAATTCAATATAATACTGACAGCAAACCGACAGATTCAATCCATTGTCAACTGCTTTGGTCAAGCAATATTTCTTTGTACCATCATCTATTGGTGCAATTTTTCTTCATCATCAATCACATCGAGCTTGGTTATTAATTTTTCAGAAGATTAAGCTGACATCATCTTCATGTTGTTATTTTGGCAACTTTTTTATGTGGTTAATTGTTGCTAGAGGAAATGAACAAATAGTATGTGAAAATATGTTGAAACATGTGCAGCATGCATTCACAAGTGCACACAGAAGTGCATAATGTGAAACGCAGTCCTGAAGATTTGGCATGCCATCTTTCTAGTCTTTTGAACTACGCAAACCTTAAAGATATTTGAAAATGAGAAGTCTCTCCAGAAACTTGTGCTATCAGAGTACAATGAGCTGATTCAGATTTGAAACTATATCATGTGTAATTGATTGGTAGAATGGAAGAAATAGATGAGGAGGGGTCAAATGGAAACAAATGGGATGATGGAATTACATTTTTTTTTTTATTGGTGGTGTGTGCGTGCGCGCGCCTGTGTGGGGAGAGGGCGGTGAGGAACTAATGCAAGCAAGCTAGAAATTTAATTGCAGTCTTTGTGTAAGTACATAATGCAGTCACAAGTTATATTACAAAATCAAAATATGATCTTAGAGAAGAACTTTTCTGATTAGATTCTTTTAGTTTATTTTCTAGTTTTACTTTTGTCAAGAGTTATTGACATTTGATATTTTTATGTTGATTCTTCTCTGCCTGTTACTATATATACATTCTGTTCCTTGCATGGATATACTTCATTCTCCTATTCATGGTCCACTTTTTTGCATTCTTGGATCACCTCTAGACTGTCATGGTGGGACATAAAGTCTACTGATCTGTGATTCTAGCCTTACTGAAATGATCAGAGATTCTAGCCTATTTTTTTTTATTTCTGTAACAAAATTCTACTGATCTGTGATCTAATGATTTTTTTATCTGTAGCCAGATAATTGAATTAGCTTTCTTTATGTTCTCATTCTGTAGCTTATGGCTTTGGTAATTAAACAAAAAAGGGATCCACTGATAACTGATGCCGGATTAATTGTTTCTGTTTATCAGATTTGATGGTTTGGATTCAGAATATTTTAATAGTTTTTCCTGAATTCTGAGTCCTCCAGACCTATTTTATTGCCTGAAAGACTTGATACTGTGTTGCTCAAAAAGCTAAGAAGCTGTAAATCCTAACTATTTGCGGTCAGGACATGGATCCTTTCCGGTCATTGAGTTCTGTTGAAGGTATATGACTAGTCAAACTAGAGCCATAAATTACTCAACAGCCAAATGGTAAAAGTCAATATTCTGTTTCAACAGAATAGTTTACTTTATAAAGGAGATGATATCTTTTGATTAGGTCTTCCTGGAAATGACTGAGGTATGCATCCAACATTATTGAAAGATCTTGGTGATATATCCTCCAATTCCTTTTATGCAGCTTGGTTTTCAGCTAACATTGGCATTTAATGATGGGTGAATATGCATCTTCGGCTTTTGAGTCTCTTGGTGAGTTCTGCAGTCTCATGAATTATCAATACTTCTTTCACCAATTTGCTTAGTGTACGGTAATATGCACGTGAAATGCTAAATTTGCTACATTTTACCTTCTTTCCTGTTAGATATGTTTTAGTGAGCTGATTATCTATTGTGCTCTCTGTCAGGTTGACAGGCATCATGGACATAATGATGAATTTAAACTGGAAAACTAAATTCTAGTCTCTGTATTGTGCTGTTCTTAGTGTGAACTTTGGCATTAATCTGATCTGTGCAGTGTCTTTGGAGACGATATGTTCAGATCTTATAGGAAAAGATGATTGAAGGCTATTATTTCTACCCTAGCATTGAAGTTGGTTCTGGGAACTAGCACTGACGTGTTATCTTATGGGTCCACAATGTGATTTTATCAACTTCAGGTTCAAAACCAGATACTGCAGTCCCTCAAGTGCTTACCTCAATTGATGGCACAGGTTTTTATTCCTTTTTGACTTTGAGCTTTAAGGAAATTTTGAAGGGATAGTCAAATTTATCCCATGTATCTATGGTATGGCACATCAATTTTTTTTTCTCATCTCAACACCTTGCAGTTCTAAGGATTATATATTATTGGCTTATGGCAAATTCAGTATCCAACTCATGGAAACCACCTCAGACTCCATTGTTTCTCATCTTGAATAACCTCTGAGCTTGCTTGTCAATCCATCCAACTTACTTCCTCTGGTGGCTGAAGATCCAGGAGAGATATTTTGAAAATACTAAGCCGGTAGATTATCTCATTCATAGTAGAATTTTGAGGAACATTTATTCTTTATTGGTGCTTTGTAGATGACATTCACATGGTAGAAGGCAAATTTGTATTTGTTGGTAAACTTTCTTGTTTTCTCTAGTATGCATGGTATATAACATTTATTTCTTTTATATGTATAGGTTCCATAATGCTGATGACAAGGAATCAAATATCAGTCAGACCAATATTACTAATGCAAGGAATCAATACTGGAAGGATCAGAACTATATAGGTTGGCACTAGTCAGTATCTAATTTTTTTTAATTCGGTATTTGTTGATCAATCGTAAAAACTGATACTGGACATACTGATGGTACATTAGGTCATGATAAAGTGAGTGGTGGATTAAACAATCTTAGTCCCTCAGATTTTTTGCAATTACCATCTGGCACACCAGAACATCTCCAAAGCAAAGAGACTGCTTGGAGAACATGCAATGAGCTTCTTCTTAACACAAAATTTGGCAGAGAGCCATATATATTGATACCACTTGTGAAAGATGTGATTGTGGAAGTAAAATTCCAATCGATTTGGTTGAAGTGAGATTTAATTGATTAGATCAGAGTTTAATTTTTTAGATTTGGTTTGATTGGTTCAGAGTGGTTTTAGGTACTGTTCCATCAGAAAAATACTTAATCAGGTTAAATCCTATTAAATCTAACATGTTTCTTTTTTTATTAGGAGGGGGCTGTTGGGATTTTGATCTTTTTGTGCAGGTTTTTGGAAGTGTTATTAGCAATTTAATCTGTAATTTGGATTTAACCCCTTCTTGTGATGATGTGAGAGTTTGGGAGGATCTGAAAGGGTAACCATCATCTAAGTTCTTGATTGGCTCTAATGATCAGCAACTAGTTAATATATTTTGGATTAATTTTTAGAGAATTTCTGTTATTCCTCATGTCAAAAATCTGTTGGAAGCTCCTTAAGAAACTTCCTACTTATTGTCGATTGGCTGAACTTAGCATATGCCCCCCTCCTCGTGTTACCTCTGTCGTAAAGAGTCTCATGAGCAGAATCATATATTTTTTTCTTGCATCTTTGTTATTAATGTTTGGCAACGACCGAAAGTTGCTTTCAATGTTACTTGCTCTAATTCTCTGAATGGCCTAATGCAGCCTAGATTACCGATTGACGGATCTGGAAAAGAATAATTGCCAGTTGCTTGGAATATCATCATTGCATATAGAGTTTGGATGATCTGAAAGGTGATCTAGTTTTCAAGGGAGTTAAGCATGCTCATTCATCTATTATTTACAGAACTACAACATATATTATGGGTTGTAATCAAACTCTCTTTATCTGAAGGATGTTTAGGGTCAAATTTTGTTTCAGTTAGATGGTTTGAACTAAATAATGATGGTAGATTTAACATGCAGGAAAAAGAGGGTGGAGCTGGACGTGTGATTAGAGACAGATCGGAAAATGTGCTTTGACAAGCTGTTCCTACATATTCCTATTAGCATGATTGGTTGGTATTAAATGACTTTTGAGGTAGACTCTTGATGTAGAATACATTATGAGAATGCTGAATGAGGAGGATCAACCATCTTTTGAATAAACAAATCTCTAACTTAATAATGTAATTCACCTTTTTTAACTCGCACAATTTGCTAAAAATTTGATCAAAAAGAAGTAATTGGTCGAGTAGGATTGTATTTTATGCTCCAATGAACATGGCATGCATAGTCTGTAATATAGACTGTTGGGTTGTATTTTATGCTCCAATGAACATGGCATGCATAGTTAGTTAACATGGCATAGTTTGTAATGATAGACTGATCATGTAGGTCTATTTCCATTTCTTTTCTTCATGGTGATTTGGGTGATTTATTCTGACTCAATCTGCAACTGTGACTGCATGGAAAGTGGATCAAAGCTTAATGCAGGATCAAATTATATGGATTTTGGAAGTGATTTGTCATGTTTCCATCTCAAGCTTTTGTAAGTCTTCAATTACAGCATATTATAAGGCATCCTTTCCACAGAATAGAGTTCAACCTGATGCATTTTGATATCCACTATGAATGATGCAAATTGGAATAGCAACCTCGTTAGAACAACATAAATACATGCCAACCATAATTAAGTAGTACATGATATCACTAGATGGAGAATGACAATGAAGTTCCATTTACACATCTGACAGGTTCATTTGAATAGCCATAAACACCAACTCCCAAAGTCTGAAGATACTTGTGAGAAAGTAACTCACTGCAAGTCACCGAGGGTTCAACATTATCATTCATCAAAGGTGACAGTAAGCTGCTCTATTAAGTCACCATAATCTATCAACTAGAATAATGGCTTAAGTAAGACAAGACTGATATTAATGATAATTCCAATTGGGGAAGGCAAAAAGTAGCAACCTGAAACATACAAAGACCAATCTCCAAGTTGCTTCATGGCAAACATAACACCCAAAATGGTATCTATAATTTACCAGTAAAATAAGATTATTAGTAGGGAAATAGTCTACTGTACATTCGATATGAGAAGCAATGCCGGTATGAATGCATATATAATCTTTTTGCCAAAGCTCCCTTTGCCTTAATTTCAAGCTTTCATTGCCCAAACACCGTTTCTTGATGGCTCCCCTCCAATCGACCGAAAGCAATTACTTTTTAACAGTCAAGTTAATATCTTCAATTTCACCAACAGTCGATCCACAGAAAACCAGTGAGGAAAAGCTTGCGCAACAGTGTCCCGTGGCTCGATATCTATTTGAGCAAGCAGTCAGCAGGCAGAAACAGAAGCAGGATAAGAGAACATGGGAATTCAATGGAAGTAATGACCCCTAGAAATATCAGAATACAAAGTAACCTCTGAAGTGATGATATGCAAAACAGGAAGGCAAATATATGAGTTAATAATTTTTTATATAGGATAAATCTATTCAGCCGGCAGGAGTTTCGGTTCAACTCAAAACAATATACTTCTTTAACAACATATTTTGCTTCATCACATGAACTTGTTAATCAGCATTTTATCAATTGCACAAGCAAGTAATCAGAAGCTGTGCTACCTAAAGCATAAAGAACAAAAATACAATTTGACAGCTAAAAGCTACTACATTTCCTTTTTTTTATTTTTCCACCTTATGTTTTCATGTTAAATACAATTCTCTCAGAATATTCTTTAGTTTGCAGTGTTATAACATAATGGAGAATTTAGATTAGTATAAAGGTCTCAGTAAAATAGATGTTAGCAAGAAAAAGAAAAAAAGGAAAAATGGGAATACAAATTAAGGCACGGGAAAAAGGAAAATTTCCATTTAATTTCTTGCTTTCAGTGTATAGGAACTATATGAAATTGAAGAAGAATAATGCAACAAATCTAATGCTAATTGCTGGCAGTAGAAGACAAGATAAGAGATATGATGATAGTCACAAATCACGATTATTAGTAGAATAGAGATGGGGAAGGTGCATGTGATAGATCAATTTTATCAAATATTGGTATGGTCAACTTGCATTCGGGTAGTAAGTGCAATACTACTAATGACCAGAGAAAATTTTGCCCAGCCAAACAAGTTAATCAATTAGTTGTACATTTGACTCACACTAGGGTAATAACAAATGGCACAAAAGAATACCTGTAACATTCCAGTTTAGTTGATAGTTGTGAGGATACATAAAGCTAAATGAGTCTATTACTATAAAATTAGGCATGAACATTTTTTACAGTGTGATCTCAGACCTCTTAAGTAAATCAACCAGTTAGCTCATCAGGCTGTGAGGCATGACAATTGGTATTATCTCTAGGCATGTGACAGGCCCAAGAGGAAAGGTATGGAAGGACCGAAAGAAGACAGTTTGAGGAGTCGAACCATCACTAGGATGAGCATCATATGTCACTGCTTCAGTTTTAATGAGAAGGTTAATCTAGTCTTGCTTTAGAATGGAAGAGAAACTTGGACAATTTATATGGCTAGATGGACCTACAACACAACAACAACAAAATCACAAGTCCCAACCATTTGGGGTCGGCTAAAATCTTTTTGTATATATTGTTTCTTCACTACTCAAGATACTAATCTATAAAGCATTGTTGGTCTCACAACTGTCTTTTAAAATTTTTCTTTTAGTCTTAAAAGTATCCAATGACCACACAAGACTCCTGATGTTGTTCATCATTTTAACTATCATATTTTTACTCTGAATAATATTTTCAGCATCTCTCCATCTTGTTCAATAATTGATTCAAGATACCTATAACTTTTACTAAAAGAGACTTCTTGTCTATCCAATTTAACTATATTCTTTTGTCCATTTCTATAATTACTAAAATTATATTTTATATATTCAATTTTAGTCCTACTTAATCTAAAACCTTTAATTTCTAAGACTTGCCTCAATAACTAAAGTTTATAATTAATTCCACTTAAGCTCTCATCAATTAAGATAATATCATCAGTAAATAACATATATCGGGGAGATTCATCATGTAAGTGACTAATAAGTTTATTCGTTATCGATATGAAAAGATAGGGACTTAATACGAAGTTGTAATGTAATCCTATGCTAATAGGAAACTCACTAGACACATTCTCTATAATTCTAAGACTAGTAGCTACATTATCATACATATCTTTAATAACATCAATATTATTAGTGGATATTTTTTTTAAAAATCCACAATAATAAATCTTTAATAACCCTATCATAAGCTTTCTCTAAGTCAATAAAAACCAAATGCAAATCTTTCTTTTTCTCCCCATACTTTTTCATTAATTGTCTTAATAAATAAACAGTTTCTATGGATGATCTTCCAAGCATAAAATCAAATTGATTGTCAGAGATATTTATTTCAAGCCTTATCCTACTTTTAATAACTCTTTCCTAAAGTTTCATAATATGGCTCATGATTTTAATTTTTTTATAATTTGAATAATTTTATGTATCATCCTTAATTTTGTAAATTGATACTAAAAAACTCTTTCTCCATTCAACAAGAATACTTCTAAATCTTATGATTTTATTAAATAGGCCAATTAACCAAAATACTCTCTTATCCGCTAAACTTTTCCAAACCTCAATAGAGATATCATTAGGCCCCACACTCTTTAACTATTTTCATCTTCTTTAATGTGTCTTTTACTTCATTAACTTTAACTTTATGAATAAATCTATGATTATTAAATCTATCATTATTATTTATCGTTAAATCTAAGTCCTATGTGGAATATTCATTAAATAATTTATAAAAATAATTTTTTCATCTTTCCTTAATCTCGTCATCTTAACAAGTATTCTTTGATCTTCGTCTTTAATGCATCTAATATTATCTAAATCCTTATGATTTTTTTCCCTAGCTTTAGGAATTTGATATATATCTTTTTCACTATCTTTAGTACCTAATTTATTATAAAAATTATCATAAGTTTTTTATCTTACCATACTTACCCTTTTTAGCCTTTTTTAGATACTTTTTATTTTTTTCTCATTTTTATAATTTTGCCAATATTTAAAACATGATCTTTTAGTAAAAATTACTTTTTGAACTTCCTCGCACCACCACCAACTTTCTCTTAAGATTACATCGCTATCTTTAGTTTCATAAAAAATCTCCTTTATTAAGATTCTAATCTTATTAGTCATCATAGTTGAAATAATATTAATATTCTCCTTATCTAAGTTTCATATCATCTCCCTTTCCATCTTATTCTAAAAGTGTTTACATTATCATCCTTAAAATTCTACCATCCAGTCCTAGTAAATTTTTCTACTATCTTTTTCTTCTTTTACTTTCTACAGTAAATATCTAACACTATCAACTTATGTTGATTCGTCAAACTTTCACCAGGAATAATTTTACAATTTTTACAAATAACTTTATTTAACTACAGTTGTGACCACTATTATAAGTAATCAAATGTTCACCTCTCTTCCTAAAGTGAATATTTACAATTCTAAAATCATACGAAGTAACAAAATCGAAAATCATATCACAATGATTTACAATGTTCACCTCGCTTCATTTCCAGGCGACGCGCTTCAAAGAGGCGTCGCCTGGGCGCTCGCCCAAGCCCAAGCGCCGGGCGCTTCGGGCGAGCGCCTAGGTTAAACTAGGCGACCGAACCAGCGTTTGAGGTTTGGTTCGGTCTCCGATACTTTAGTTGGTTCAATCGAACCAACTAAAGCACCGATATCAGTGTGACTTCCCCAACCCTAACCCTGCTCGTCGTTCACGCTACTGCCGCCGCTGCTTGCTGCCGCTCCCACTCCCACCGCTACTGTTGCCACTGTCTCCGCTCGCTGCCTCCGCTCCCGCTCCCACTGCTCGTTGCTGCCGATGCCACTATCGCCGCTACCGCTGTCGTTGCTGCTGCTTGCTACCGCTACCACTGTCGTTGTTCGCAGCTGCCGCTCCCGCTCTTCCCAATCAACACCCTTGGTCTTCCCTTACACTCTTCGATAATATACTGTTAACAGTATACATTATACAGTTAACAGTATACTGTTAACAGTATACATTATACAGTTAACAGTATACTGTTAACTGTATACTAATAATAGTATTTGTATTTATTAAATTAATTTAATAACATATTTTTATTAAAAATTTAAATAATTATATTTATTAATTATATTCTATATTTTTATATTTTAGTACCTCACTTCGCTCGGGCGAGCGCCTAGCGCCTCGAGCATTTTTGGACTTTGGCGCCTTTTGGCGCCTAGCATTTTTTAAATCACTGTCATATCATCATCTTCATTTCTCACCCAAAAACCCTTTATATATTCACCATATGTTTTTCCTACATGACCATTCAAATCTCCTCCAATTATAAAATTTTCAATTATAAGCATTCCTTGAATGATATCATATAAAGCTTTCCCAAAATTCTCTTTTGGTTTGATCATCCAATCCGACTTGAGAAACATAAGCACTAATGACATTTAAAATATCTTGTCCTTTCATAATTTTTAAAATTATAATTGTATCTCCAAATCTTTTTACATCCAAAACATTGTTCTTAAGATCCTAATCAACAATAATTCCTACACCGTTTTCATATTTGACTTTTTTAAAATACCAAATTTTAAATCCAAAACTATCAAACTCTTGCCTACTTGACACTACATCCAGGCACCAATCTAAATGGACCTATTACCTTTAATTTAAACATAAGCATTTGAAACAAATAACTCATACTCATCAAGATGAAGGACAAGTTCTCCCATCTATTCAAATGGAGGTTTCCTCATGTGAAAAGCGATGAAGTTTGCCTTCCGCATTCTACTTGTATGATTTTTTGTCATCTTCCCCCCCTAAAGATTGCAAAGTTCCAATAGCCTCTAAACAAAATCTTCCACTCAAGTCTCTTTTTACACTGCACAATACATAATGACACATTTAATTGGACATCAATATTGACCCCAAAAGTCAAAGAAGCACATGCTGGTCCAGACAAATATCAGTCTCTTTTCATCATCTGTCCAAGCCCTTTTAACACTACTACATCTTTTACACATCACCAAGTAACTTATAAAAAATTAGCACCCAAATCTTCCATATAAAACTAATATATAACATAACCTTGTTACTAAAATAAGTTATTAAAACATGACAAGCAGTTTAAGTAAAAGAAAACGGCGAAGAGAAGTCACTGAAATATTCACCTTGAAAGATAAAGAACACTTAGTTCAGCCTTCTATTACGTGTGTTACGAACTCCATCAACATCAGAAGAACCCAAGGCAGAGTTTCTTGCTCTTCTTCTACCAGAGTTAGAAGGTCCTGCTGCACTGGTTCCTGCAGAAGGGTTGACACCAGCAGTATCTCCATGTATCACAGCAACAGAACTTGAAGCTGATGCCTGATCTGAAACCATCACTGGCTCAACTCTATGACTATGCTGATGCAAAGGTTCAGGGCTATGATGATTGAGAGAAGAAGTCGGTGAGCCAGCTGGACGTGATAGATCAACTCCATCCTGAAAGACTGCAGAGGGAACAAGTGGATGGCCTGATGTGGGGTCTCTAAGCAAGCCAAGTCCTGTAGAATTAGACCCGGTACCCTCTTCCCTCTGAATTCTTCGCATCCTTCTAGTAGCCAAAGTACGTGCAGCACCGAACCTTCCCTGTCTCCTTGAAGGCCGATATCCTTCAATTCTGACTCCATCATGCACCTCTTCATCCACATCATTTCTCCTTGAGTTTGCAATTCCTTCTTCCAGTCTGTCCCGTACCTGCTGCCTGAAACTCTCAATTCTATTTGCATGGGGTCGAGGGGGTATCTTCAGACCAGATTGCCCGTCTTCTCCACATTTCTTGTGATCTTTAGTTTCTTCACCCCCACGACCGTATATAGGAGTGACATTAATTTCAAGTACATGTCCTTTGCAGACAGGGCATTCAGAATTCACCGAATGAGCATGAAGCCACTGATACAAACAAAACCAACAAAAAAGATGACCACATGGAGTAACGACTGGATCCTTGGCAAGCTCATAACAAATATTGCATTCAAAGTTAGCAGCAGCGTTTCCGCTCTTGTCTTCATTTTTCTTGTCTAAATATTCAACCTCCTTGCCTTCGGCACACTTCCTGGAAGCTTCTAATGCCCTCTGAGACTGTACTATATCATGCATTAGCCTTTCTGGGCTAGTCAAGGAATGTGCACCAGAATCAAACCGCTGGCCATCATTAGAAGGCCTACGATTTCGGCCCCATAACCGGTTGGTCAACTCTATCAACCTCTGGAAACGATATTCAGGGTGTTCGCGGAGCTCTTGTTGGACGGACAGTGCATCACCTTGGGCAGTCAGATCGCTCAGACGAATCTGCGAGTACACTCCAAGGGTGGCCTCGACCTGACGATGAGCAGCTCGCGAGGAAAGCTGAGGAGGAGGTGGATAACCAATTTGGGCATCGACGCCACAGGCTGAAGGTTGCCTAACGAATTGAAGAGGAGGCACCGGCTGAGACGGCACAAGAGGGCTTCTCTCTGGGATTATTGGTTCGTTGCCATGGACAGGAGGCAGTGTGTATGGGTCATCAAACGACTGCGATTCTGGACCATAGTTAGGCTCACGAGATGACGAGTTTGGATTGTACTCAGAACCTGGATTGTTGTTGTCAGCAGCATGAAGAGGATCGGCCGGTAGTATGTCCGGAGTGGACAAGGCGTTGGACGGGGAGTAGGGTGCAGAAACGTGGGCTTCTTCGGCGATCGGCGACCAGGGCAAGTGCACGGAACTAAGCGTGAGGTCGGAGCCAAGATCCCGGCTTTGAGATCGACGTAGAGAAGGAAGGCTAAGATAAAGATTCAGATCCATTCGGCTGCTGCTGCCGCCGCTTGCGTTTTGCTCACCAGCCATACTTCTTCTCAAGACCCCTAATCTTCAACACTCCATCGAAACCCCCACCGAATAAGGGTCAAGAAATCCTCATCTATTACCAAAACGCACTATCAAAGAGCGGATTTTTCTACCTAATTTCAACGAAAATTCTCCCGCAATCTCATTCCAACAGCATGTCCGCCTTGCAAAAACAAGATCTAAGTTAGGGTATGATCAATTCGAACTAGGGTCATATCAGAAAATCGGTGGGGGAAGATCGATTCGATCGAAGAAGAAGAAGAAGAAGATGAGAGCAACAGAGAGGAGTCCAACAAAACGACGACGGCAGATCGAAGAGAGGATGCGTCCGGGAATCGTACCTTGAGCAGATCGGCAATCCATCATCGGAAGTGCGAGGTCGCGTCCAAGGCCACCACAAGCGTCCATCTTAGAGCAGGAGATGACGAGAAATGACCGAGTTCGGCTCCTTTCCCTACCGCCTTCTGTATTCTTATTTTATGCTCATATATATATATATATATATATATATATATATATACACACATACATGCATGTATATACATATACATGTATGTGTATATATATATACATATGTATGTATATATGTACATATACTTATGTATGTACATATATACATATATATCTATATACATATGTATATACATATATATCTATATATGTATATATATATATACATATATATGTATAAATGAATATACATGTATATATATATATATGTATGTATACATGTATACATACATAAATACATATATATAATAATTATGAGCAATTTCCCTAAAAAGATTTTTTTTCAAACGATGCCTCGTGTTTTTCCGTATAATGTCATTATTTTGTATGATTTTAAAAATACTCTTTCCTTCCCTTCTCTATCCATCACCTTCATCTTCTTCACCCTATCAGTAACGCCAGCCTTTCCTCGTTCATCACACTTGTTGTCCTTGCCTCTTCCGCGCACGTTGTACTCATTGCCTCCACCCCTCTCGATCACCACCATTGCCAACACAACGAGCGATAAGTTGACAGCAAACCACTACCTATGATAGGACTGACGAGTAAGGAAGGGAGTCGAGGCGACATCACAAATGAATTATGCCAAGAAAGACAAGTGGAGAACGCAGAGAGAGAAGAGAAAAGAAAAACATTTTTTATATTACAGAAAACGCGAACACCTTCCGAAAGAAAAACTTTTTCCAAAATATCAGCTTATAATTATTATTATTTTTTAATTAATAAAATATATAATGTATAAAACACTCGATGCTTCTAAATATTTGAGTATCACAATGAAGATTTTAACAGTAAATAATAAAGACAGCATTAACGCATGCAAACAGTAAATAACAAAGACAGGATATAATATATAAAACACTTGAGGTTTCAGAGGCCAGAAAAATGATTTCTAAATCTGACAGCATTAATACAAACATTTAATTGTTAAAATAGATCAGACAGAGAACATAGTGATAAATAGTCCATAGCATTTTTTATCACAAGAAGCCACTTAAATCTAATTTCAAAACGAATTGCCAGCTTAATGCAGTTCGCGTCATGGCAGACCATAAAACACACCATGCAAAAACGAGCAACTCGAACATTACCAACACTAGGTAGTGATGGGAAACCGCAACTCACGTATCACAGATAACTGCAACATATTAGTGTTGATATCACGTAAAGCCAACCCCATCAATAACCAAAAAGTATCACATGAATCATCACTTATTCAATGATTGAGATCAAGCAAAAAATGCATCCTACCAGCTCTTAAGATCTGTCATGCCAAAGCAACATATGATGATGATGTCCCAACGGGTAAAGTTCAGAACAAGTTGCAATTCGTCAAATGTTAGATCTGCCATGTCTTTGCATACTATCTCACGTACCCGACTTGAAGTTGCACTAACCTCAAGAATGAAACTAGGAGCTTGTTTCTTGATGTAAAACATCAATAAACAATAAGCAGTAAATACTAGATACTCTTGCATACAAGGTCCAAAGTGCAATCCCACACATGTTATTACAGTTCACAAGAAAATGATACTAAACAGCATCTCCAGCAACCCATGGAAACATCCAGTCTTTTTTTGGGACAACACATCACCAAAAAGTAAATAACCACAAGGAAAAACTTGATACCTGAAGTTCAATAACATTGTAGAACGTAATACTTGCATTACTTCCACTCGCCTCACGATTCAGATGATTTTACAATAAAGTTCTGCCGGCTAATTGGATTCATCACGACTGGTGGTCCAGCAGTACGAGGCCAGGCCTGGAACTTCTTATCAGTTGCTTCCCACCATTCGTCCGAGATAGTTTTAGGTGTTGTACCTGGTTTTAGGTTAAGACAGGAGGCAAGGTCAACTTAAATCAAAATTCAAATGATAAATCATATACATTGTGATTTAACCGACCTCCAAAAATTTTTTTATCAGCAATCAGCACATCACATGCATATGCAACTGCAAAGGATGCAACAACAGCTCCGATAATTTTGCCTGTTGCCATGTTTGAACTGCACCACCAATTTCCAAAGAAATTTTAAGTTCTAGGCACTTATAACATGGAACAAACGAGCAAAGGATAAAAAGAAAAACAAGCAAGAATGAAAATGTAAGAGAAAGATGCTACACAAAGAAACAATGATTAGTTAAAAAACACCAAGATTAGAGACTAAAATCATTAAGCAATATATTCTACACAACCTTCTTGATGAATATATACCCCACTCAAGAACACTACACATTGCTGGTATTAATAAATGGCATGGGGGCAGGAAATGAGAACGTCTTATTGGCACCAGCACAGATTCCATAATTTTAAAGAGAAAATGTGTGGCTGAAATTACAATCTAAAAGACACCAAAAGCCCCCTTTCTCTAAAATGATGTGAACTTATCCTAGTTGCACACTGCTCTGCTCATGTATCATCTTCTCTCACTAGCCAATGCAGGTAACAACCAAGCACAAAGTCACATCCAGACTTCAATTTTTGCTGAAACCAATACCTGTTTAGCTGATTTAGTAAAGACTTGAATCATCAAATGATGACACATCTTTTTGCAGTCTGCACAAAATAAGAAAATTCTGTTGAATCCCTAAATAGGCCTGCAACATTAATGGACTGACCCAAAAGGTCAAAACTAACTCAGACGAATGATTTTAGGCAGGCTTGGCTTGAGTTTTATTAACAGGCGCCAAGCCTGGGTTGCAAATTTAAACCAACTGGTACGCAGGCAGGATTGGACTCAATTGTTAGACAATCCAGTCCAATCCGACCAGATAAACCATGCAGATCCTACAAAACAAAATGTGCAAACCCCAGTCTAAACCTAATTTTTCCCTCTACCACCGTTCCCAGTCCCTCCTTAGCACCGACTCACCCTTTCTCTTTTCCCATACCCTTGGCATCCTTAGTTCAGCAATGTTTTAGTCCCCGGCTTCATTGCAATGTCCTTGCTTCCCCGAATAAAAACCAATCATCATAAGAAGAACTCGAGCCAAGTATCTCACCTGCACAACTACTTTAGGCAAAAGCTCAAGTCACAAGAGAAGCATGGACAAATTATTTGCTTGCCGTATAAAATATCTATTTTGGGAAAAATGCCAACCACATAAGCACAACACTATGCATATTCTTATCAACCTACAACCATAGTGTTGGTTATCGAATTAAAATGATAAAAAAAGTCCAAGATTTCCGAGTCCATCAGTGCTACAATCTTGTTCTTGTGAAAGAAAGATTTTTTCGCTGTAGTTATCTAGTCAGATCTCATAACCCTGACCAAACCTACCAAACTTGCTGCATACATGACGGATTTGTGGTTTCCATTGTCATACGCAAAACAACTTGCCTTATTCCTCTCATAGAAATCAACATGGTCTAGCGCACCAGTTTGAGATGAATGTTCGAGATCCATTGATCCCGTATCCAAGGAGACCATCCCATAATCAAAATACACTAATCACGACATATATTATAGCACTTTTGCAACATAAAATAGAAAGAACGGGACGATGCAAGCATAGAATTGAAACCCTAGTTCTCCGGCCTTAAAAAGAGGTGCGAAGCCAGAAGATATCGGAAATTCGGAAGAACATCAGACAAGAAGAATTCAAGAGGAAGAATATGAGAGAGAAAGAGAAAGAGAGGAATCACCTCCTTCAACCTCTCGCCCAGTTGCAGCGCCGCTGATCTCGAAAGAACCAAAGTGCAAAGCGCCGCGAGAAGCCTCAGGAGAAAGGAAAGTTATAGCCACATTCTCTCTCTCTCTCTCTCTCCTCGGAAGAAGACCAAGATACTAAATCTGCTCCGTTGGTTTAGAAAAGAACGGTGGAGATTAAAGTTGGGATGCGAATTAGCGATCGAGCTTCTAATACGACACCAATCACCCATGGACGCGTGTCCATAACATGGGCCGGGCATTAATCCGTGTTGTAATAACTGTGCCTGCAGCGTTTTAAAATGACCTATTTACCTTTATACATTTTGTTATGACATATATGTCCTAAAAAAATCGTACCGTATCATATTATCCATCAGATACGCAAGTTTTTTATATTTTTCATATGTTTATAACAAGCTCAAGTGAAAACCTACTCTAGACTCAAATTGTGAACATCTATGTAGCAAAAAATATCATATGAAGAATTTATTGTGAAAAAGATTTTTTCATTCATTCAATAATATGTATTTATCTTAAATATGTGTTTAAATTATGCATTCAAATCATACACTTAAATATATTATTAATTTGAGAATCAAAATATATAATAAATACATAGTTGTCATTTTATATCATGATCTTTTATCATGCCCCTGAAAGATTGAACTTTAATCAAGGATGTCAATCTTACACTAATACAACTAAAATATCTTATAGATAAAAGATTCTACTAATTACTCAAAAGTATGGATATAAAAAATACATAATTGACATCTAATAATTTTATTTTTAATAAAGTGAGAGTCGATCACAATATATTTCATACATGAGCATAACACCAAGTTAGCGTATAAGTAGGTGGCTCCGATATAATCATAATATATTATAGGAGTAGATTAAAATATAATGTCAAGTTCGTGTAGTAGATTGGTGACCCAATTGAGTATTGTAGTGATGGTAGCAATTATTTAGTATTCAACTTCAATAATAGATCCTGCATCTATATTTTGTTTCTTTGAACTCGATCAAATTTGCTCCAAATAAGATAATAAAGGCTTAAATGTCCTATCATCAGTGTTGCCTACCAAATCAACATCGACGAAAGCATGAAGATGAAGTGATAAGTGTTTTTGAATGAGAAGTTCATAATTGAAAGTTCATTTAAGATATTGCATAACATGTTTTAGTGCAAACTAATGCATAGTAGAAGGCCGATGTTTAAGAAATATCTGCATGTGTAAAAAATATATACTACAAGGAACCAAGTACTTGTTGGTACTATATGAGATTTGTAGTAAAACTACTATCATATAATTTAAGTGACTTAATTGTGAAGGAGTGGAGTAACAATTTCTTTGATATTTTGTATATTTATCTTTAATAATAAATATCGAATATATCTTTTTTTAAATAAAAAAATCCAGAAGATATGAATGTTGCTTCTACTCCTAGAAAATAGCTTAAGGTTTCTAGGTCATTGATGGAGAATCGATCGATCAATTGCTTAAGGAATTACTTAATCTCCATAATATTATTACCTATAATAATAATATCATCCTAGACCAGTAAATATATAATATATCTTTTTTATTATCATAGGAATAAGAAGATGTCATACTTATAGTTGACAATGACAGTTCACATAAAAAATGAGCTAAGTTTGGTATATCAAGCTCTTGGAGCTTGATAAAGTCAATAAATAACTTTTCATATTTTATAAATATGATCAAGATAATAAAGGTGGATGAAGCTAGGGTATTATTGCATAAAAACATCTTCAATTAAATATCCCATAAGAAAATATTATTAACATCTATTTACTATATATGCTAGCCTTAAGTGATAGCCAAGCTTACGACGAATCAAATTATTATCAGTTTAATAACTAGATTGAAAGTTTCTATGAAATTAATATTGAGAAATCTGATCAAAGCATCACATGCATTGCGGAAGAATAAAAAATAAAAAGCACAAATTTTTAAAAAAATATCTCATTGTCATGTGAAGATTGGTGTGCATAAATCATAAAACCAAAAACTATGCATACTAAGTGAGATTTGTCACATAGGGAGATTGTATATCCTTAAAAAATCTCAGATCTATAGGAGTAGATGAAGAAGGTCAATGGTCCTTATCTCTAGTAGTGATCCACATGATAGATGCGATGAAGATGCTCCTCAAATCACTACATGATCTTCCTCTCCACGTGCACCATGTAATCAAGAAGGAGCCGACCCTTCGTGTTGTCCACATGCTCTCAACTGGGGTTGTTTACTAAGGGAGAGAGGAGAGGAAGAGTATAGGAGGAGCGGCCAAGAGTTGACTAGCCTATACCACCTTTTGGCCTCTCATATTTATAGAGGTTCCTACCACTTAACCTTCATGGATCGTATCCTACTGGTATTGGATCTCTATCTAATTACTCAAACCTCTTTGATTAGTGGATATCTACCTAATAATTTCTTATTGGATTTTATCCATAAGATCCATTAATTCATATGCTTACTAGATATTCAATAAGATAATGACTCTAATGAATATCTCATATCTAAACCTTTACTTGTCATAACGCCTACTATATGTGTATGACCCTCTAAGCCTAATATCGAGTTAACCTTGAGTCATACCAGTTAGAACTTCTTTTAACTCAGTGAATTATTTTCTCTATAATAATTCACTCGACTTATCGACTATGGATGTACTAGGCCATTATGTCATATTTCCCAAACGATAAGGGGGATCTAATCAATTGGATCTCTCTGTCCTCAATTATTATTATTATTATTATTATTATTATTATTATATATATGGTCCCTAATCTATTTAATATCCTAGAGACAGTATATCAACTATGATATTATTAGGCCCATGCAGATATACTCAAGTTTTGCTCTAATCGGATTCTCTTGGAGAACTCCTACTCTCTCAATCTGAATAACTCTGGTCGGGGATTTGTTTGAGAAAGAACACATAGGTTATTCTTCTAATGACACCGAGAGCAGTTGATCCTCTATCGACACCCAATTACCCTCGTAAGGTTGGATACCACTCTCGATGATCGGTTGTGCTAGATCTAGAACTTCCTAACCTATAAGTCTGGTATCAAAGAGTATAGTACTTATACATGACATCCATAGTGTCTCAAGTCTAAGAACCAGATACATAACTAAGACTACGGAATTGTTGTATGACAATAAGATATCATCAACTATCCAACATTCCATGAACAAATCAATCAGTGAACTCATTCTCTAATAAGCATTTACACTATATCCCTAGTGTCCCCACACGAGCAGCTATGAGACCGGTCGCCTCAATTATATGGACGAGTATATAGCATATCAATCTGTCCGATTATTTTGATGTTCCTCTCAAATAACCTACGATCATAATTATTTAGGATCTATGTTTAAAGGTAAATCAGTCTCATTATCGTGATCTCATCACGTTCCAAATCTCATTTTACAGATCCATTGATATCACAATATATACAACATGCAACATCAACTGAGAAAATATCAATAATAATAATAAGCAAAAAGATTGTGTAGCGTATCACATATGTTATGACTCATGTGATTGGCTTGCAAGACATTTATGACTAGTAATTAGCACATAATAATTGGTGAAACTCTTTTACTACTGGTCGTATTTTATATTTTACAATGGATCCATCTAAGTTTTACTTAATTCAAAAGATTCACTTATACCTAATGATATTTTATGTTTGGTGAAATAGTACAAGGGTTTATATGATATTATAGAGTATGTCATTCTATTTCTTACACATGGATTTATGTTAGTGTAGAGACTTTTGAGCTTGGGTAACGGTTGTGGATTCAGTAGGCTTAGATGAAAAGCTTAAGGTAGCATAGAGATCAAGGATTTGTCATAGTTTGAAAATACTAATTTTCGAGTATGTTATCATGTGATATCCAAACTCGATGTTATTATTGAGTTATATTGAAAATATGAGAATTAGTGAAGAGTCAATGACAGTTACCTCTATAAGAGTGGTATCAATAAATCATAAATTGATTGAGAATTAAATCATTTATAATAACTTCTAGGTTTTGCATATAATCAATAATAATACTTTCCTCTTGTATTATTTTTATCACAATTGATAAAAGACTTAGCATGCGACTGCGATAGTGATTGGTGAGGGTAGTTTGTAACATGGATCATGCTTCTACTATAGTGTTGCATGAAGAGATTAGTAGTGTTATATATATAGGGAAATTTATGGGTGATATCATATGTGCACGGAAGAACATAAAATAAAAACCCCAAATTTTTCGAAAAGGTGTTTGTCGTCGTGCGAAGATTGGTGCGTAAAAACTCCAAAACTAAAAGGTCATGTGTGAGATAGTTGTGTTACATAAGGGGATCGTATATCCTTAAATCCCTATAGATCTATAAGAGAGGATGAAGGAGGTCAAGCATCCTCCTCTCTAGTGATGATCTACATAGTAAGGCTATGACGATGTTCTTCAAATCGTTGCCCAAATCTCGACACTTGTTATCTAAGGAGACGAAGGAGAGAGGAGAATATGAGGTGACAACCATGAATCCCCAGCCTATGGACATTTGGTTCCCTCCTATTTATAGAGGTCCTCTATCAATATAACCCTAATGGATCCTACCATATTGGGTACTGGATCTCTATCCAATAATCTCTTATTAGCTCTTATTGGATCTCATCCGTAGGATCCAATAATTCATGGACTTCTTGGATATCTAATAAGATAGGGAGTCTGATAGATATCTCATATTCGAACCTCTACTCGTCACAATGCTAGTCATAGGTGCCCAACAAGCCAATCACGTGAGTGATGACACATGTGACTTGATACAGAATCTTTTTGCTTATTATATTTTGACATATATCACTTTATAACTATTGCATATATATATATATATATATATTGTGATATCCTTAAATTTATGCAATGTGAATTGGATCGTGATGAGATCACGAAAATGAGATCGATTCACCTTTAAACACATATCCTAAATAATCCCGATCATAGGTTACTCGAGTCGGACATCGTGATAACCGGACAGACTGGTGTGCTATATACCTGTCCATATGATGGATGCAGCGGG